GGTGCAGCTCACCCCAACCACTGCAGAGTGAAGGAGAACAAAATCTTTTCACGTTCTGCAAACCCTGAGCTGGGTGGGCTTTGGGCAAGCAGACATTTCCAGCCTACCCTTGACAAGCACAATTTCAAAGTGATGCAGACATTGAAGAGTTGTTGATGTCTTTGTATGAAGAATTAGCTTTAAACAGAGGGAGCAAGGGAAAAAAAGTCAAATAAGATAAAACCAGAAAAAAATCTCAATATGGGAGTTGACAGATACTTGGATTTTAGTTAAGCATTTGACACTGTCTCATGAAATCTTAATTGAAAAATTAATTCAAGTCAGCTTGGCTGCAGAGAGTGGTATGTGGGTTGAAAAATGGCTAAAGCACAAATGAAAAAAATGTTGATAAACAGCAAGATTGGTGGAAATGTCCAGTGGGGCAACACAATCTGATAGTTTGAGTTTACTTTATATCTTCATTAATGGCTTAGAAAAAAGGTACAAAATCAAGACCACAATTAAATACACAGATTATGCCCATCCATAGATGGCTGTAAATAAGGAGAATGAAATAAAAATGGATTGAACAGGAAACGTGGATAAAAGATGGGCAAAATATATTCATCAAAGGAAGAAAATTGTTTTACTGCAAACACAAAACCAGCACAAACCAGAGTAACTCAAAAGATGAACAAGAGTTTATCTTCTAAGGAATGGAAGAGTGGCAATGGAGAAGAGAGCAGAAGGACACTACAGGAATTACAAAAAGTAAAACATAAGTTGAGGATCCAGTGCCCTCTGCATCCAATGGAAGTGCAGCCATGGACTTCAAAGGGGTTGGACGTGGCTGGCAGTCCCAAAGCTGGGATTATCTGCAACCTTGTTCTGGCCACTGCATGCAGCCATAGGAGATGCTCTCCCAGAAAGATGTTACATTGGCAGCAAATCAGAGAGGAGGCAGAATAAAAAATGAAAGGGTTTTGTGAGAACTGAAGTGGGAAGAAAAATGAAGGGAATTAAGCAGTTATAATTTGGCCAAATAAGGAATAAGCAGGAACACAATTACAGCTTTCAAATGTCTGAGGACCTAAGCTGTATAAAGGACAATAATTATTCACTCTGTTACATGGCAGAAGGAGTTTAAAAGGTGAAGGGAATATATTATGAATAAAGAAAGACATTTTATGTAAATATCAGGAAATGCTGCGTATTAAACTGTAGAATAATAGAGGAGATGGAAGTCCTTTGGTCGGGGATTTCTGAAACTCAGATTGAATGCCAGCTATTGAAGTGCAGAGAGGAACCTTTTCAATTCCCCAGGACACCAGGAAATGCATCTGCCTTGAAAAGATTCGGATCTTCTCCCGACCTCTCCCTGTGCAAGCTCCATGTGGTTTCAAGCCCACACCAGGAGATGCAGAAATATCAGAGGATAAATTGTTCTTAATAAGGAATAAACACTCCTCATATCTTCTGATTGTGCAATCTGCTCCCACCCCTGTCTGACTGAGATCACAGCCTTTTCTCAAATCACAGCCTTTTCTCAAGTCAGTAGCTTCAAACTGCTTTGTTCTGCTCATGCAAAAATGAAATGTTTTTCTGGGGTGGGAAGTGAGGATTTTCGTAGCAGCAACCCAAAGATTTGTTAGCAGAGGACATTTTTTACCCCAATTTGTCTCAGAATACTCTTTATTTTCTACTAGAAATACTGTCTAGAAGTGATATAAGACTTCTTTTCTGAAGTTTTTCTTCTCTGGCTTCATTATTTTCTTAGATCTCTAGATTCTAAAACTCAGACTATGCTAAAAACTAGTGGGGAATTTGTTTGTTTGCATGTGCCCACTCATTCACAGAGCTAAGAGTTTGACTAAAAATATTAATCAAATAGAAAAATATAAAAATATGACTTTTATTCTATCACAGAGTCCATGATAGGGATGGCAGCTATTTCTATCCAGCAATTCCTGCCTTTTTCCACCCCCTGCATTTTGGTTCCCAGCTCTCCACCAAACGTAGGAAGCAAAGAAAAATTTCAGATGATAAATCAGGAAGGCTTTTTTTTCCCCCCATTTCAGCATGAAAAAGGCAATTTTAAATACAGCTAAGTATTTGTAAACATGGGAAATGCCAGTTCTTACTTGGTGTAAATGGTCCCAATTTTATTCATTTTGATTTGAGCATGACTATTTACACCAGGGGAAGATCCATACCCTGGGATATTTCAGTGTGTGGTAAATTACAGGACTTCACTCACTTTAGCACCAGTTTTAATGATCAATAATGAGTTTAGGCAACAATAAATCAGTTTTTAGAGTTTAGACACTGCTACAGTCTATGGTAGAAAACATTAAAAATACTTCTTGGCCCTTTCTGCCTGATTTGATACTAATGCACAATGAATTGTGGATTAAGGAAATGTTAGAGAAGGCTTTCCATGTCTTAGTGTAAATCGATAGATTTTATTACAGCAAAACATGTTTTGTACATCTGCAACACCATAAATTTATGCCTGGGAAAAAAAAAAAAAAATCAACATGTCCTGCAGTGTAGAAATCAGAGATGAGAAGCTGAATATTCAGTGTCAGGAGAATGCTGCAGGAAAGGCAAGGACTCAACACCTGAAGGCAAAGCAGGGCAGGAAGGGGCAAAAGCAGGGAAGAGGTGGCAGCTGTCCACAGGGCATTGCTGAGCCTTTGATTGGAACAATCTGTTTAATTCTGCAGCCCAACTTCCAGGCTGATCCTGAAAATAGGAAATATTCTGGAGAAGAAAGGTGGGATGCCTGGGAAAGATATTTTATGGAGAGAAAGTGATGAAGCTGAGTGTATTTGGGTTATATGAGTGTGGTTTAGTGGATGACTTCTTGAAGTCAGGGAAGCACTGATGTGGGAAATCTTGTAATAAGTTATTAAAAGCAGTAACTCTTTATGATCCTTACACAAACTCTGAGAGCAGCACTGGCACCAATGGAGCCCCACAATTCTGGGAGTCAAAACTTCTTGAGGGGGTTCTGTGCTGGTTTCTCCTCAATAAATTCAGTCACTGCTCTGATTTGCACTGGTCTGAAAAGTCATTCAGGATCAGTCCCAGTTCAGACTCAAATTAAATTCAGTCTTGGATATGTGCACAAATTATAAATACCTGGAAAGAAACAGATTAAGGATTAAGGCTGACTAAGTAAAGAATTAGCTCAAAATTAAAGGGTGAACAATATATAAACCATGGACTGTAAAATTCCCTGACATTCCTAAAAACCAAGATTCTGTATTTCTACACACTTGTTTTGTGAACCTTAAAAGCATGAATGTGTTTTATTCCTTGCCAGGTTTGCTCCTCTACTTGGAAAACATTTATTCTGCTTCTTGTTTACACTGAATTTAGAATTAATGTGGCTGTTCTGGTTGAGCAAAAACAACCTTGACTTGTATGAGGCATCATTTTATCATGCCAAGATATCTTGTGTAAAAACATAACACAAGCAGAGTTCTCAGAATTAAGCTGGTTAATAATTACTATATAAACAGGTCAAGGATCAAGAGAGACAGTAAATTCTTGTGAAGTGTGTGTAGATTATATTTCCAAATCACAATACTGAAAGCAGAGCTGTCTTAATGTGCACAGAAAAAGTCAGATATCCAGAGATTAAATATTATGGTCTCAGGGAACATTTTTCACACACTAATAATCAAAATAAAAATGCCACTAGTTACTCATATGAAATAATGCACTGTTGGCATTAGTGAAGTATTTCTTAGGTGCAATAATATTTACTGAAAAACTACATAATCCAAGCCACATTTTCTTATATGCTGTAGAAATAAACAGGAATCACAACTGAGAGACTCCTGTCAGGTTTCCTGATGAGTTTTTCATGCTCAAACCCATTTTCCTGGCCCAACTTTTCTCCCAGAGCCCGCTCAGACACTGGATTTACACAGGGGAGACTCCTTTGGGGTCCCTTTAGCTCTTTTATCTCCTCCAGCCTGGCTTTGAGCATTTCCTGAGGGTCACCCTCCTCTTCAGCTTTGGTCATGGTCACCTTTTAAGACATTTAATGTTCCATTTCATGGGATCAAGAGCATGATAATAACAAGATCCTTGGGCTGGGAGCAGCTGGAGTCAGCTAAAGGTTCTTGCCTGCTGAACTTCCTTGGGTTGATCGGGGTGGCCAAAATTCAGGACTAAATAAATGGCTCAGACTCAAGGTTTTGAAATTCAGATGGTAAATGCACACAGGACTGGCAATACAACCAGGTGGCAACGTGAGAGTGACAGCACTGCAGATCTGATGAGATCTGAACAGGGGAGTTTCTTCAACTGGAATTATTTTTCAGACATTTTCTTTCCAGAGGTTTTATATTCAATTAATTTGCTCACAGAAAATAGTATTAAAAAAAAAAATAAAACAAAGCCAAAACAATTGTTTTGTGTTTTGTCAGAAAATAAGAAGTGGGAAAGGAAGCAGTTCAATGGTCCAGCAGCTCCCTGAGCAGAACCAGCCCTTTCTCCCTAAGCTGATGTCCCACACTTGAACAGCCAAGCAACACCAGACATGAAAACTGAATAACTGGGTTATTCTAGATGTTAATGCTTCTTTATTTCTCATAAAAGCAATGTGGAATGTAAATTCCACTCAAATGACAAGCTGACCCCATGAGTTAAAACTCCAAATGGTTTTATAAAACAATTAAATCAGCAAGTGTGTAATTTTTGGGACCTTGGAAAGGATTTCAAAGTACAAATATATATATATATTTTATATATACATATATATATATATATATATAAAATATGCAACAATAGGGAAAGGTCTCAGCAAAGTGGGAAAAGCACAGATGTGCAAACACAGGAAGCAGAAATGTGTGTGTGGCTCATTCACTTGTTTGCCAAAGTGTCGTTACTGCAGTACATTATTTACAGATAAAAAATAGCATATCCTTGCAGTCATGTGGTGTTGCTGGCTCCTGAATTTCCTGCTTATCTGACAGGCTAACCAGCAATTCTGGGCAGAAATAATTTGGCTGCTTTGGTAGTCAGCTCTTGGCCCAGGAAAACTGCTTTATTCAAAGAAAGAAGCAGCCAGACAGGAAAACCAGCTCTCAAGGTTGGTGCTTTTCTCCTTCGTTTTCAGATCCAAGAGTGCTGAAAGTGGGAGAGGTGGAAGTGCTGATGTGATCAGACAGGCAGGTTATGGTGAATAAACAAACCCTGCTGTCCCCCCTACATTTCTGGGTTAATTTGATGCCGCCTCCACAGCTCTGACTTTTCAGTGGGTGCAGGATGAGAGCAGCACAGCTGGAGGGGCTCCCTGGTGTCCTTTGGGCCTGAGCTCTGCCCTGTCCCCTCCTTGGTGCCACGGGGAGCAGAGCAGAGCAGCTGGAGGGTGTTCAGAGCTGCAGCCAGCCCCAGGAATCTGGAAAAAACATAGAATTGTACCCAGAACCTGCAGCAGCTGCTGCACAGGACTGGCCCTGGGTTTGGGAATAAAGCAGGAAACTTTCTGGAGGGGTTCCTCCTCTGTGGGAACCCCAAAAAAGATATGCTGATGGGGGAAAATGTTGTGGTTTTGGTCATTTCTAAAAGCAAAATAAATAATCCTAGAAATCTTTGGGTTGCAAGGGACCTTAAGGATCATCTCTGCCATGGGCAGGGGTGACACTCGCTGGAGTAGCTTGTACAGGAAATGAAGAATGGATAAACACTTCAGTAGATTGCAATACCTCACAGTCATGTTTAAATAAATTTCACCTTAGACAAGCACAGAAAGGACATGCAAACTCCTCTGTGTAACACTGGGGCATGCTGAGAGGCTCTACAAAATTTACAGGTACGGGGAAATGCCAGGGGATGCTTTGCCCCCAGCTCCTGTGGGGTCACCCCTGTGCAAAGGGGAACAGTGTAGGAACAAGCAGAGCTGCAGGGGAGGAAGAGACATCACCTAAACCTAGTGTGGTAAAAAAAAAAAATCAATGTCAACCTTAAAACTGCACAGGAATATTGGAGGGACAATTAGCATTGGGTGGTGCAAAGCAACAAGATAATGAAACTGCATATATTCTTTTCTCTTTAAAGTGTTAGCAGAGGTGAAATTGAAATATTTTGATAATTTATTATTATAGACATTTATTTTTATTATTATATTAATTTATTAATAAATCTGGGGAAGATTAACCCCCAATATGCAAATGGACCAAAGTTATAAAAGTGTGAAACCCATGGTCCATTTTGGGTGCAGCCCCTGGGGGCTTGGTCTGCCCTAAATGCACCTGAAGGCCCTTCAATAAATAAAACTGCTTTTTATTCCCTTCACTCTCTCTGGCCTCTGTTTTTAGTAGTAGTCCTGATAAAAGGCATCAACACCCCAGAGCTTTTGCAGTTAAAAATTCCAATTATGAATGTAACCTCCTGATAGCCCTGAGGAGTGGCTCTTTCTTCTTCTCCAGCTTCCTCAGGACACAGAAACTGCTCAGCTTTCCCCCTCTCCCTTCCCTTTTCTCCCCCAGATGACCCCAAGAGCACCTGCAGCAGCCAGAGCTGGCACAATTAATTAAGTTAATCATTCCCTGCTCCAGCTGTAACACCTGTGATCCTGCAGTGCTGCTTGGTTAAATCTTTGCATTCTTCCTCCTGGGATTAATGCCATTTTATAGATTTGTGCTCAGGTTTTTTGGATGCTGGAGAAGCCAGGCTGCTCCAGAGCTCCTCATCTTCTCAATCTCTGCATAAACACTTTTCCATAAGCAGCACTCTTGTTTCACTGAGCAATAGCAGCAAATCGTTGCATTTCTAAGAATTCTGAAAAATAAAGTTCCCAGGCTTTCCCAGCTGTAAAACCCTGAGAAAGGCTTCTCTTCCCTTTCCTGCACTCGGGTTTCTCTGGCAGAAGTGTGGCTGTTACACAGCAATTTTCTTTCCATGTTTTTAAAGTGGCTGATTTTAATTTGGATGTATTTTACCCTGCAAATCCTCTCAGTCAATATGGAATTACATAAAGCAGCTTTTTGAAGAGAAATCGTATCTGGAGAAGTTTCCACTCTGTGTGTGTGTGTATTTTACACAAACTATTTACTTTTTTATGTCTTGGTGGCACTATCATTTTTGATGACCTGTGCTCTACCAGACTGACCTCAAAAACATAAAATGAAAAAAAAAAAAATGTAATAGTTTTGTTCCTTCCACATCAAGGGTGATGCTTTCAAATAAAGACAGGGTGGACAAAGTTTACTTGGATGATGGGGGAAAGTAATCTTTTTTCTTACCTCCAAAAAGCTGAAAATAGGTTGCAAGTGGCTTAGGAATGTGTTCCCTTCATAAAAATGTAACATTAAGAAAGGGAAGATATTGTAAAATTTATAATACAAAGGGATTTCTGTAGGTTTATATGGAAAGGGCAGTAAAGTTTCCAATCATGAGTGACTGCTAAATGCTCTTCCAGAAGGGATCATCAAAACTTCCCAACTGCTAATCATGAATAGAAGGTGAATTCTTTGCATGTGCAACACAAAACCTGAAATAAAATACAATTATTGACTTCAGCTCTCTGTTATTCTCAAAAGGGAAAAAATTACTGTGTAAGTTGGAAAGCTCCCAAACACCTTTTTAGAAAAATGAGGTGGTTTAGGTGTCCTCCACCAAGCAGCATTATTTCTAATGCAAATGAAAATAATCCAGAGTCCCACGTATCAAATTTGATTTTCTGAGATCATTGCTGCATCACCTGACAATGGAAATGAAATATTCAGCTTTGTTTTCTGCCAGTTCCTGCTGCCGTGGTGCCTATGAAATAACACCTCCAAGAGAACTTTTTGGCTGGATTGACCATTAATGAATTTATGTTCTGAATAGTGAGAATTCATAGTATTCAGGATTTTTATCTTACTTTTTTGCCTGGGATGTTTGAGTCGGGTTTCTCTGCCCACTGTGCCCATGGCTGCCGTCACCTTCTGGGACATGGCGCAGCCGAAATGGTCAAAAAGGAGCAGAACCTTGTGTAAAACTGCTTTTACGCTTTTTGGACTCTTGATGCCCTGAAGACATTCCTGTCTACTCCTTCAGAACATTTTCCATATTTTCTGTCTCAGGACTGAAACAATTCAAAATTAAGAGGATGTGCAATAACACCAAACATTTATTTGGACTTCATCTTTTTTGCCATGAAACATTGGGGTGATTTTGAAGAATAAGCAGACACTTTTACTGAGTTGTTTAATTTTTTTTTTTTTTTTAACAGCCAAACACCCACCTCTGAATCCATTTGTATCTCTATTGGTAGACTCATAAATCTTTATCTGAATGAAAGTCCCTCCACTGTTTTTTCCAGTTGGCTCCATTTGCTGCCTTATTTTCATGCTGAACATCTGCACACATTCGTGGTATCACTTAAACCTTCAAGACAAAGTTTACTTTGGATTTAAAGAATCTTTTGATGCCATTCATTCACACATAACAGCAACATTTTCCACAGCACCAGCATGGCTCCTAGTTTTTTAAAAAATATATATACAGGGGAAAAATATGTTTTATCTACCTTGCAGAGCTTCAGACTGGCAGGATGTTTAAAAGAAAAAATGTATTTGTCCTGATTTATGAGAAATCACAAGTAATACAGATTCCCCCCTGGGGATATTTCTGGTGAAGTGGAAGCACATAGAGATTGAGCTCCCTCCTGGTCTGCCCTCTCTTGTGGGTGCTGCTACAATTTGGGGCACAGCAGCTCAGGAGCCTGAGCTAAAGCAAGCCCAAGGATTTATTGCAGAAGAGAAGTGCAGAATATTTGCTGACTAAGCCAGGAATTCTTGCATTATGCCAGGGATTTAAAGGGACAAAAAAAATCCATCCCAGCAGCAAATCTTGGGGCACTCCACATTAACCTCTCTGTATGACAAAAATTAGATCTTTCTTCTCCTTTGTTTTCCCTATCTCACCAATGCATTTTAATCCATGGCAAAAAATTACCTTTTACCCTGAAGTTTTCAAATTTCCCTAATAGGCTTTGGGAGTGGATTTGGTCAAAAGCCTTCTGAAACCAGCACTGGGATGATCTCCTTCAGCTTGCTTTAATTCTGTGGACCTTCCTGGTGGCACTCAACAGATCTGTGGGGCGAGATTTTGAACGACTCCAAAGGGAGGGCAAGGATTTGCCCCTCTTTCCCCACTTTGTAGATATTCTGGAGTTAAATATTCACATTTATCTGCCCATCTGAGGCTCTGAACTTGACATAGCAGCAGCTGCTTGTCGATAATTTAGACAGGAGGAAATCTGAGAACACCCAAGGTATAATTACCCTCCTCGTGGAAGGACAGATTGGTGAAATAGATGGACAGGAACAGGCTCTGAAGGGCTGCTGTGATTTTCAGTAGCTAAAAAATCTGGTTGCATCCTTCGGGAGACTATTTTAGGAGAGAAAACCACTGTGCAGCACTTAATCTGCTACTGAAGTTGTGCTCTACAAGCCAGGACAGCCCCGGCTCCCACCTGGGAGCTGAATAAACTGAGTTGTGTTCCTTGTGTTCAAACAACTCCTGATCTGCTGTACTCCCACCGAGGTGCATGAAAGAAAAGGATTCTTCCTCCTTCTTTTCAAGCTGAGCTAAAAGCTTTTTTCCTTGGAGGGCTTTGAGGGAAGGTAGGAGATGGTGGGTGTTGCACTGGCTGAGGAGAAAAGCACACAACATGGAAAAACTCCTCAGCACCGGGGAAAAGTTCAAGGGTAGCTGGGGAAGACTCCTAAAAATTTTTGGGAATGTTAAGAGGAGAATAAGCAATCAGATTCTTAAAGATGTAAATTCAACTAAATCATCTCTAAATGTGACTGTCGGTTATTTGCTCTAAATCTAAAGATTTGGGGTCCTGGTTTGTGTTGTGTGGTGGAATGGTCTCAACAAACCCCTAAAACTGCTTTTATCCAATTACCTGTGTTTCTGAGGGAAAAAATCAGGATCCAGCCTTGAAACTTTGCCAGGTTTGTTTTTTCCTTTATCACATGGGAGGCTGGCTGGTGGAGGGTTATAAAGCAAACCACAAGGAAGTTTTCCACAGTTCATGGTGTTTTCCACATGGATCTGGCACCAGGTGTTCTGGACTCCGAATGTTTGCAAAAAGTGCTCAGATCAACTCAAGGAAGGCAAACCTCTGTGTGGAAATAGGAGACAAAAACATCACCTCTTACTGAGATGCAGGTTTTTGTTGGCTAGAAAGTTTTACTTGTGTAATCCCATGCTTGGCCTGCTCTTCTACTTCTGCAAACTTCCCCAACATTTGGAGAGAGCCCAACAGAGGCATTATGATGATCAGAGGGATGGAGGAAAGACTGGGAGAATTGGGATTTTTCAACCTGGAAAAGAGAAGGCTCTGGGGAGAATTCATTTGGCCCCTTCTGAAGGAGGGCCTAAAATAAGGGTGGGGAGGTAATTTTTGTAAGGACATGGAGTGACAGGAAAATGGGGAATGACTTTAAAGCAAGAGAGGAGAAGTTTAGATGGGATATTGGGAAGGAATTCCACCCTGGGAGGGTGGGGCAGGGCTGGGATGGAATTCCCAGAGCAGCTGTGGCTGCCCCTGGATCCCTGGCAGTGCCCAAGGCCAGGCTGGACATTGGGGCTGGGAGCACCTGGGACAGTGGGAGGTGTCCCTGCCATGGCAGGGGTGGCATTGGGTGATCTTCAAGGTCCCTTCCAACCCAAACCATTCTTGAATATTCTTTATTTAATGAAAACTGTAATTACTCCTGTGCAGTTAACACATCTCTTTAGTCAGACAGAGTGGGAAAGTAACTCTGGGTCACTCCACTGCCTGAGGTGCTGAGTCCTGTAGGAACAAATCTGCTCAGTTTTGCTGTGGTGTACTTAGAAAACATGCAAAGGGAAACCTGAAAAATTTATTTTGTTTAGAAGTTTGCAAGAAAAATAAATAGGTTGGGTATAAATTATAAAAACCTGACAGTTTTTGGGTGAGCTGTGCACTGTTTACATCCTAAGGTTATGCTGATGGCTGATTTATTTTTAATTATTTTATTTTTATTGTTTTATTCTCATTATTTTAATACTTTTGATTTTACTGTTTATTTTTATTCTTTTTCCTACCCGAATTTCAAGGCCAGCAAACACTGCTGGTGGCTTTCAAAGTGAGCCAAAATCCAGAGAAAAATACAGAGCTGTATAATCACAAGTGAAAATGAGTCTGAGGGAAGTGGTTTTCCAGGATTTCAGGGTCTTCCCAGAAAAACTGCAGCCAGGAGCTGAGCACAGCTCTGTGGTGATGTGCATTGCTTAAGGGCAACAGCACAACCTGGTGGTTTCTGGTTATTCCAGTGCATCAGGATCTGCACAGGAATTTCCCTTCCCCAGAACCCGTTGCCTGCACAGAACTGAAGCCTGTTTTCATTAATTCCTTTGTAAGGTTCCATTTTACCCGAGGTTTTCAGAGTAAATAGAAACCAGCAGACTGCAAGGGCATATACACAAAACGATGAAGTAACAGGTTCCTCCCAACATCTCTAATTCTGAAGGTGCTGCATATGTCTGAATTTTGCTTTCAAGATAATAACTAGAGGGGTATAACTGAGAAAAAAATATTGCAATATGTACTATGCAAAATCGGGGGAAAAAAAGGACAAAAGGAAAGTATGAGCAGAAAAAATTGGAAGTTTGTCTTGCTTTTTCTATTATGACAAAACCAAGCAAGGTATATAATGCATTTGCATAGACTGAATATTCAGACACCAGTAATAATATTTATTCTCTTTCTTCTGTGTCTTCAGGGTAAGTGGCGTTGGTCAGAGTGTAACTTCTGAGGTGGCAGTGAAATGAAACGGGTGGCAAATTGCTCAGAAAGAATTTTCAAATAAAATTAATTACATTTTCTGTTTTGCTTGGATGTGAAGCTCAGGCTGTGTGATTGCCAGCAATGCAGATGTGGATGCTGAACAAAATATCTTGCAAACTACATGTTCAGTTCATTTTCTGATCATGTGGGATGGGACAAATGCCACTGATTGTGACTAGAGAGAGGTTTGCAGTCCAGCGCTGGCACTGCTCCTGACAGTGGGCAAAGCTTTTTCATGGAATAATAGAGTTATAGAATGGTTTGGGTTTGAAGGCACCTTTAATTTCATCCAATTCCACTCTTACCATGGGCAGGGACACCTTTCACCACCCTGGGTTGCTCCAAACCTCATCCAGCCTGGCCTTGGACACTTCCAGTCACTGGGAGTCCCTGAGTTAAGCTCAGTCCTGCTTAACTTGATACAAAGAACCTTTAATTTTACCTATGTGGCTTTGGAGCTGAGAGTAAAGGGATTTTCAAAGCCACTAGAGGACTGAAGTGCTTTGGGGCAAAAGTTTCATTGTTTTTATGCAGTGAATATTCCTATAGGATTGTCTCCACATGGGACTTGATGTTGGACTTGATGATCTTAGAGGTCTCTTCCAACCTCAGTATTCTGTGATTCTGTGATTCTGTGAATGCTGAGGTGACTCATTGCTTCCTCTTTGTCCTTTAGCCCAGTCCATGGCTGAGGAATGACTCACAATCAGTCTCAAGAAAGCACTGGAGTCCACTGGAGGTGTGTGTGATTCATGCATTTAAACTGACTATGAAGCTTTCTCTTAAGCTCTCTCTTTTTTCTTACGTTATTACGAAACAATGTATATGAATTCTGCTGAAATTTGTGAAAATATTATTCTGCTTTGGTTTATTGTTTATTGTTACATAAATAAGACAAGAAGGAAGGAAGGAGGGAAGGAGGGAAAGAAAGAAAGAAAGAAAGAAAGAAAGAAAGAAAGAAAGAAAGAAAGAAAGAAAGAAAGAAAGAAAGAAAGAAAGAAAGAAAGAAAGAAAGAAAGAAAGAAAGAAAGAAAGAAAGAAAGAAAGAAAGAAAGAAAGAAAGAAAGAAAGAAAGAAAGAAAGAAAGGAAGGAAGAAAGAAAGAAAGAAAAGAAAGAAAGAAAGAAAGAGAGAAAAAAGAAAGAGAGAAAGAAAGAGAAAGAAAGAAAGAAATAGAGAAAGAAAGAAAGAGAAAAAATTTTTATTCTTTTCCTTGAGTTCCTACTGCTGTTCCCATCTTCACAACCTTTCCCTGTATCCCACTGAGGCCCAGGGAGATAATGCAGTTCCTGAATCCCTCTGGAGCAGCCAGGGGAAGGATGCTGAGCTGTGCCTCAGCTAACCATAACCATGGACAGAAACCAAACCCCTGAGATGGAAGCTGTCCCAGCTTCCCACATATCCTGCTCCAGACTGGAGAAACCAGAGTATTTTTCAGATGTCTAAAAACCCTTGGCAAGCACAGGGATGTCAGGTCTCCCTGCCTGACGTGCTTTGATCACTCTGTAATTATTTCCCATCAGTTCAGACACTGATTTGTGCTTTGCTCACAGGCAGCAGACAGTGTTGATACCTGGATGGAGAAGCTCAGATCAGCTGGGCTGAGCTGACATCTCCTCTTGCTGTAGGTGCTGGGTGATGCCTGGGGCAGCACTGACAGGGTTAATTCTTTCTCTCTCCTTTCCCTGCTGTTTCACAAAGTTATTCCATATTTTCATTTTAGCACAAAGGATTTTCAGGAATAATTTAATGTACTATCAGGGACATCTTCCTGTCATGGAAGGTTGGAAAAACCCTTAAAGATGCTCGAGCCCAACCATTCCTGTTGTCACTTTATGTCATAGTAGAAGCTGGCTTGTACTGAGCATTATCTGGTCATAAATAAGAAACCCAGCTCAGTTCCATAACCGACCCCTGGGCTGACTGACAGGGACTTCACCCAAAAACATCCTTCCTAAGGTGCAAGCATTTCACTGGTCCAGGACCTGGGGGGCATAAAGATCAGACCAATGAGCTGTCTAGACCTGGGAGGTTTGAATTGCCTATAAAAGTAAGCTCTGAACAATAAAACACTCTGCTGGTGACCAGTGGAGGTCTGTTGGGTGTCTGCCACTGGTAACACGTGGTGGCCCCAATGTGATGAAGAACAGTCCAAGAATTGTCCTGAGAGCAGAGCAGAGGGAGACACAGGGCAGTGCCTGCAGAGCCTGTCCCCACAGCAAAAAAATGAAAAAAAACAGAGAGGACAACCTACCTTGCAGCAAAAGCTGCAAAAAATACAGCCAAAGAGCTGTGTGAAATCAAAAAACTTGAGAAACTGAAAAGAGAAGAAAAACCCCACAGAAGATACACTTTGTACATCTAGATTTTGTCTCTGTGCAAGACTACCCAGTACTAAAGGTATGGAAACTTCTTGAGGAATTGGGACGCAGACTATGATGAAAAAACATTATTAGTGTTAATAACATGGGTGAAAAACCATGGATTGGACACAGCTAAAGCATCTGCCTTTGACTTTAATGTCTGGGCGTGAACTGGCTCCAGCCAAAGCAGTGACAACCAAAGCAATGCCAAGTTCTTACTCCTCAAACCCCAGCAAAGCTTCACAGCCACCCTGCCCTCTGCTGCTTCAGCTATTCAAAGGTTCTCATGGTCCACAGACTAATAAACTAATGACGTGCTAAGGGTAAAGCTATAGAAAGGGTGTCACACAAGGGTTACAAATATACACAGATGTTTACTAAATATGCCCTGGAATTCATAATACAATATTCATTATTGTAGTTTATGTTTACTAAAATCAAAATGAACAAGTCTCTGATAGCTGATTCTATTACACTTACTAATAAAGTATTACGTTTCTGCCTCAAGTATGGGCTACTGTGTATTAAAAATATCCTAGAATGTATGTTACTAAGTTTATTCATGATACTGCTATCATTACTCATTGCAATGCTACTAGATCAACCTAGAAACTCAAAGAATTTACTTGTTCTAATATTCTAGATCCATTAAGGTGTACAAATGCACATAAATTTAGTAATGTCATAAGAAAATTGCAGTTGCAAAGGAATCTGCCAGCTGTCATCACTTTAAGAACTAAAGTCACCTATTCATGTCAATGAAAAATTTCTAACTAATAACAAAAAGAAAAAAAGTATATTATTTGCTCTGTTACCACAATAACTGAAAAATTAAAAGGCCTATATTTCTTTAATCATTCATAAGTTGTTCACGTTAATTTTTTTTGCTCCCAAATGCCACATCCACCCAGTTTTTGAACATTTTCAGGGATGGTTCCATTGCCTTTTACCCTTTCAGTGAGGAAATCTTTCCTGTTATCCAGTCAAACCTCCCCTGGGCCACTGCAGGCTGTTCCCTCTGATCCTGTCACTTGTCACCTGAAAAACAAAACCCAACTGTGTGTGATCCCCTTTCAGGTACCTGTAGAGAGCAAAATGTTGACAAATGAGTGTCAAACACCCACTTGGAAAGCAATCCCAGTTTTCCTGCTGGGATAAAGGAAAATTCTCCTTTTTCCAGTCTAAATTGAAGGATAATAGAGAGGGTCTGCACTGTGTCTGCCCCCAAAAGTGAAAGCTGCTTTCAGTACACACAGATGGTGAATCATCCTTTACCCAGAGGAGTACAAATTCTGTCGTACAAATTCACTGTGTTCCCATATTTGTCCACCAAATTGTGTTCTCACTGCTGTAAATTTTGTATTAAATTATTTAGGTCAGCTTAAATTTGGAAAGCAACAAAACAAGCACCATTTTTTGCCTCATTTACATGTCTGTGGTTGCTGTAACACGGTTTGCTTCCTAAATTAAAGTGATGCAAGCAGTCTGCCAAGGAAATGAACGGCAATATTTTTTGGTTATATTTTTGAAAAGCTGGTTGTAATTCTCAGACATTAACCCAAAAATAGGTGGACACGTGGAGAATAAAAATTCAGATTTCTTCCAGCATGCATGGATCTGTGGATGCTCTAATTTGAAGTTTCATCATTTTTCTTTGAATGAAGAGCATTTTGAGTCTTTGCTTAATGATTTAAGCATAACAATATCTGTGACCCTGTGATTAAGGCCTGCCTAATGGCAGGTATTGTCAGGATCCAGGGGATCACATTAAAAGCCATTAATAGCTCCATGCTGTGCTCTGACATGATGCAATTCAGCAGCTGCCCCGTGGAGAAACACTCCAGGCATCGTGTCAAAGGGACACAATGCTAATAACTGGGTTAGGATGGGTTTATTTCATCCTGGTGGTGCCAGAGCCCTTCCTGTGCCTTGGGACAGACTTCTCCTCAAGGCCTGCCCTCATCCCACCTCTTGTTTACACACTGAGATTCCAGCCAAAACTCCAGACCCCATTTCTGGCTGGCTCTGTCCCAGGCAAACACCTCTCAGTTCCTCAGTGCTTCCCATCAACATTTCCACACAGCTCTGTCAGCTCCTGACATTCCTGTGGGCTGACAAAAGTTGCTTTGTGGTTTTCCCTGGGTGGGTCCCACCTTTCTGCTCCCACCACCTTCCCCTTGTCATAATTGGAAAGGTTTTTTCCGCTGAGGCTGCTCGTAGCTGATCATCCTAGCATGAATCCAGCCATGGAATGACCCAGCACAGCTTTCCAAGCAAAATGTTCTGGTGGTGCTAGCACTGCAGGCCTCCTGCTTTCTTTTTATTTATTTATTTATGTATTTTTAACTTTGTATTTTTTTTTTTCTCCCACTCTGGAGAATCTCTGTTCTGATCCCAAAGACTGAATCCCCATTTTTTTGTGCACCAGATGCTCAGCACAAGCTAAATTCCCCCTGCCCAGGAACCTATCATGGTGACACCTGTCTCAGCATTAGCTGAAATCATTTGCATGGTGACACCCTGGGATCACCTAAGCCCAGAGGGACAATGATTTGGGAAGCATAGAAAGAGCTGGATCCATTCACTTACATTCCCTTTGGTCAGACACCTTGTTTCCTCTCTGTTATGGTTTAATTATCCCAGCAACATTTAATAAATTTTACTCCTTGCTCATCTTCTCTGAAATAGCTTCCAGCTTTCTCTATAAAACACTCAGATTCAGGCCCTTTCCTATCTCATGCACCAATAGTTAATTTTTGTACAGATTTTTATTCATTGCTTTTCTTGGTGTTATTTTATTTTGCTGTTTTATGGCTGCTGTTAACATTTACTAGAGGAATTAATTTATACTCTGCATGAAAGGACATCACTGCAGATATTTTGGCAACATTAATTGTGACTAAAATTTGGGGAGGGGGGTGTGGAATAAAAGGAGGAGGAGGAGAGGAAAGGCAGCATAAGAAGGTGAATAAATTACTTTTCCCTTTTCAATGGTTAAATCCTAACCACTGGTAAATGGCCTTTCAGTGGGGAGGGCAGCTCATTTGTGATACAGGTACAAATGGGCTCAACCAGAGAAACAACCCCACAGGCACTTCCAATTCTTTGTGTGACATTCAAAACCTCCGATGTTTTCAGCAGCTGATGATGCTATTTGCCCTTTTTTTTTGATTTTCTTTTGTGTGAACATGAAAATTAAAATCACTTTCACTGAGCAAGTCCTCGCCATCGTGCTTTATTCCTCCAGGGGCTCTGGGAAATAGACTGAGAGTCTTTGCCAGCTTTAATGATGCTGTGATTTTGTTTTATGGAAGCTGAGGGAAAGCAATCCATGTGAAACTCAGCAGCACCCACCCGCCCACCTGTGGGCTTTCTCC